ATTCACACAAAAACTAATGCAAAGGTTAATGATTTAAATGGCGAGACATCCATCATCGCAAACAATTCAAATAATATACAAAAACCTCCGTATCCGTTATGAATGAAATGATCCTTGTTTATATAAATTTCTGTCGTATTAGTTCTTATTTTTACTACAAGCTTTCGTCTGTTCCTACAGACATCTTCAGGTATAGAATAGATGTTGTTCTTGTTTTTTCTCTTAGTAATAAGAGGACAACGAGAATATATGCATTGTTGTATCCGAAAATGTTTTTGTATATTATTTGAATATTCGTAATTGTTCTAGCGAGATAAGCTGGCTAACCATCACACCACATCGAGGTGCGTATATATACTTTAGGCCGTGTGCCACATCTGAGCTACGCTTGGAAAATCGCTATATATATATATATATATATGTTTGTGTGTTTTTGTGTGTGTGTGTAAAGTGGCATGAAAAATAAATCCATTGCTTCTTTAGAAATACTTTAAGGAATAAATAAGCAGAGAAGGACATGACTTCAACACTTGTAAGAAAAGAGAAGCTTCAATAAATTCATTCAAGCGTCACAAGAATTCGTTTCAGCAGAAGGTAATATAAGTTTAGGGTTCTAAGTTCTAAACTCAGGATTGACCCACTTTGAAATTTGTGCTGTAGTAATTGTGAGTTCTATCTCTGGGTCGGGTAGTGCAGACATAGACACAGTGAAAACAGGGGGTGGGGGCAGTAAAAGAGCGATAATAAATAAGACGAGAATTCGGTAGATATTACTTCATTTGAAGACCTTTAATCTAAAGTTTATTTTATGTCCACCTATAAACAATTATATGCGATTCCACTTTATTATTATTATCATTATTATTATTATTATTTTTATTTTCTTTAATTTCTGGCGTTTACACATTTCTTTCCGGGTCCCGCCCAAGGACATAAGTTTAGAAATGGCGTCATGACACTTTCCACTGACAAAAAAAAAAATAAAAACAAAATTACATAAAGCCCTTCGTAAGTTATTATTATTATTATTATTATTATTATTATTATTATTATTATTTTCTTTGATTTCTGGCGTTTACACATTTCTTTCCAGGGACCTAAGGTTAGAAATGGCGTCATGACACTTTCCACTGACAAAAAAAATTTACATAGATAAAGCCCTTCGTAAGGTGTGGGCTGTACTTGTCAGAACAATTTTTTGTATCTCCTTGAGGCATGGACTTCCAGGAATCCCTTCAATTAGTCTACTGCAATCTTTTCCAACCAGTCCTAGGCCTCCAATTACAACAGGGATTGTTGATGTTCCCATATGCCACATTTTCGAGTTTTCTATTTCAAGGTCCTTGTACTTTGACAACTTTTTGAATATCTTCAAAGATACATTGCAGTCAGCAGGGACTGCTATATCAATAAGGAGGCACCGTTTTTGTTTGTGGTCTTTAATAACAATATCTGGCCGGTTGGCCTTGATTGTTCTGTCAGTGTGTATTGTGTAATCCCATAGAATTGTAACAGGTCCTATCTCCGTAACCGAGTCTGTGTGGTGTTCATACCAGTTTCTTTCAGTTTTTTTCTTCTTCTTCTTCTTCTTCTTCTTATTATTATTATTAGTATTTTTATTATTATTATTGTACAGGCTTCCCATAAAGTCTCCTTATTATTCAAAAAATTATTACATTAGCAAATAAGCTGACAAATATCGAAGTATTTTTAACTAATTTAATACACCTCTATATGGGCACAATTAGTTGCATGATGCAGATCAAACGGTAATCGATCTCTTGCCATGTTCGCTGTAACATAGACTCATTAACGGTGTCAATGGCATCAGTGATCCTTTGCTTTAGATCAGTAATGTCTCGCATCTTTGTTTGATACACGATATCATTAACATAACCCCCATAGGAAGAAGTCCAGGGAATGAGTTGGCCAAGGAAATGGGCCATACCTTTCAATCCATCAGTTTGGATATATCTGATTTAGGAAGCCACGAACATGCAGTCCCCAATGGCGTGATGCACGATGTGATGTAAATTGGTGGTTGATTGAAGATCAGCAACTTGTGGTGCCACATCAGTTACCTTTGTAATATATGTTTTACGTTGTAGAGAGACTTTATATATACTCTGTATATCTATTGGCCCCTGAAGATATTTTGAAGGTAGAAACAAATGACTTAACTTTTATCTTCATATTCGCTGCCACGTATGTTGGGGCATTTATTATGACATGGCATTAAATCCGGATAACCTTATTTTCTTCAATTTCTTTTTAGAATAGACAATGGGACTTATACTAAGTTAAAACTTAACTTAATGTTGCGAAAGGGTAAATGATAGTCAGCCAGGACTCTTTGCAAATTACCCCCCCTCTCATCGTTACCTCTGTTTTTGTTGTTGTTGTATGTGTTATATGTAATAGGAGTAGGTAGGCTTTCTTACCGCCCGGTCAACACTCCTCCCCCTTCTCTTGGACATGAGTAGAGGCTTACGCCTTGTTT